AATTTTGTATCGTTCGTTTGCCAAGGCGGCAAAACGGCAAAAAAATCGTCAATGCGAACGACGGCTCCGACTGCACTATTTTCTTTAAGTGCGCCAACATATTTTTCGTTTTTGAAGTTAATAATATTCTTACTGTCTATGATGTAAACGTTAAATATTTCCTGCCATGAGTTTGTATCTGTCGTTTGGTCGATACCAAGAACGACTACAGTGTTGGCACGATTTGTTAACTTTCTTCGCGTTGTTACGACGCCGTCCGACGACACTTGAAAAATGTTCGCGGCATCACCGAGCGCATTGATTGAATAATTCTGCCCAACGTGCCGCAACCTGGCTATTTCATAGCCTGAATGTACATTATTGGGCACTGTTAGCCTCGGTAAAGTCGCACTATGGATTACATGTAAAGTAGCCGTAAACGCTACAGCGAGATATAGCAGAACTGGAGCCCGAATCGCCCGAACGGCCATGTTGAAAAGAATATCCACGTCGAACACCGAAAATCGCAGCCACACAGAAAAGTTCAGCGAGTAACGCAGCAGTAGTACTTACGATATATAACTGAGTCTCTGTATTACAATCACTTTAAATTTATCAAAGCAACTTGTTGGCTCTCAACAAATCCATAAAACAATGGTGTCAGCTAGATCCCGCGAAGTACTACACCGCTTTAAAACTGTTGGTTGTCCACTGTTGACAATCTAACGGAAGGTTAATACTAAAACTAACAACTGGCAGCTAGGTCGTTAAACACTAATACGTAGAAAATACACGAATCGTAACTATAACCCACTAGTACTGCAATCAGATCAACTTTACCGTAAAGCGATCTCAAGGAGAGTGGCAAAAGTTACTCATCCCCGTTCACACTGCGTACAAAACGAGTGGGCCTTTTGAAAATACCGTTTTTTATTAATATTCAGATACTTTATTCGGCTCCGCCCCTCCGGGAAACGCAAATTAACCGGGCGACCAGAATACCGAATTAATACCGTCTCACTTTCTTGCTGCTTTTAATTGGTATTCCTATATTCTGCAATTTCTCAATTATTTACATCCTATTTTGCCGAAAAACTATGAAATTATAGTCACTCGAGCGAATGTTTAAAGAGGTCGAATAATGGATGGAAGAGCTATGGCAAAGGTGTGCCTTATCGATTAGTCCGGACGACGATGATGTCATGTTTATACTATGACAAAGTACTAATATATTAAATTGAATAAAATATTTGCGATTATATTACAATAAAACAATTTAAAGACATTGGAGACAATACAACTGTGTTAATTCTACACATATAGGGGGAGTGGATACAAATATGTGGAAAATAATCTGAACTTTGCAAGACTCCGCCATCATGATATCCAAACGATGCTGTTCCATATATGGAATGTGTTTGCAAATGATTTCAATCATTAATTTTCAGCGTGAAACAAGTAGCGTGGTTTAAACATTAACTTTTCTTCTTTATTGAACTCGGACTGTAGACTAATAGAACAAATCTTGTGGACGTACTGCGTCAGCTGTAAGAATGTAACAAATACTAAGATAGGAAAACACAAATACCAATTTATCTGTGATTTCTGACAGTCACAATCAAATTGAGAAGATCGTATAGTCGGAAAAGCTTCCTACATCGAGAATGATTTAGCAATGCTTGGTGCTAAAAACCTCACTTGTCCGAAATATATGACAGCTTTATATTTACGTTTCCTGTACTTGGTAAATGCTGGAAATTAATAACGAAACAATTATTTGCAGTGTAAATATTTACAAACTGTAAAGTTTATTATGTTGACCTTATTGCAATATACCCTCTTACGCGAAACACTTGTCAGGGCGTGTTATTGAAATAGACGACTCGGAATCGGAAAATACGACCACAGTCCAAAATTTCAGACAAAAATGTAACGCGCTTGGCCCGCAAATATACAGCACGCCACATATATATTGACAAACACCATCAATAAGTTTAGTTCTACCCTTTTAAAAAATGTCACTTGCAATGACCCGATAATTTTGGACCTTTTCCATTCGTTCTTAGCTTAGCTTGAATGCCAATTTTATTGGGACAACATGTCTTATAAAAGGATGTAATTGAGTCACTATTTACTATGTTTTCGTTTTAATGTTTATGTAGCTTCTGATACCATTATGTTAATTGCGAAGCACAACATGTCATCTCTACCCTAACACACTAGTAGTCACACATATATAGAAGAATTTTTGACCAAATATCAAGTTTATTACTGTAAACAATATATTTTGAGTGCAGGTCAAACAGGTCTGCCGGACAGTCTCTTTAGTTCCCAACCAAACCGACAAGAGCGAGCTTGGGGAGAAAATAACTAAAAACCTGTCAGCAGTCAAAGTTCTGTGCTTACAATAACGAATGTGTGATCAGGTCACATAAAATAACGATGAAGAAAAGCAGGGTGATTGAAGAAAGAACAAAAATAATATACGTCAATGCACAAACTAATGTCTATTCACCTCCAGTCTAAATACTGCTAGGGTATAATCATATACCGGTATATATAAAGGAGAAACTTGGACTAAATTCGAATGGACTTTGGGTAATTGTATAAATTGATTACCTCCTAAGTATACAGTATACGACATAATTTTGAAACAGGTACCATGGATCCTTATAAACCATAAAATGCATTTTGCGTCATAAATTGATGATTACGAGTATATATATATCTTAAGACGTCATTTTGCCCAACATTTGGAGTACAAGTGTAATATTTGTAGTGCAGCATAATATGGAAAAAGAAATTGACAATACAAATGTAATTGGCTTCATATCTTTGTTCTCGAACTCTCAATACAGATGTATTTAAATAAAAAAAACACAATTTTTTAATTTGGTTTTAGAAGATACATGAAATGTAATATCAACGGCGAAGTTGTTCATATTCAAAAATATATACTCAATTACTAATGACCCTACAAATTTACTCACTCCAAAATAGATGAATAAAATAAAGCCGTGTATTCACACTTACACTACACTAACGCCGCTAAATTATTAAATATATAGCAAAATTTAATTTTAACTTGATGCCGTAAGATTTAGAAAAATCTACGAATAATTGTGAACACGGAATGACTGGATTTTAGGCTAAAAACATTCCTGAGATTTAGTGAGTATGAGTGAGAGTCAATTGTGTACAAATCAAGGTTCGATTGTTCGAATGTAACCTTACGCATAAAGATTACAACTATACTACACGAACTTAAGCTTACAAATAATAAGAAACCACGCAATTGTACCATACACGGGCTAACTCATGAGGCAACAGTTCGTGAACTTGAAGCGAGATCTGCACGTTGCCGCGTTCAATCATCAATCAATTATTTTGTTCATGAACGTACTACATGTAACAGTACGCCGATGCTTTGTTTAACGTCGGTAACACACAGAGTGACAATACAGTCGAACAAAACAAAACAATACTGATCAAACTATATACATGTGCATCCGTGTTGTAGTACCGTATGTAAGGTAATAATAAAAACAGCTTAGGGAACATACAAAAAAACACAAAAAAACATTATACACATTGTGCGTTGGTGTCGCAGATACAAAGTGCAGAAAATGAAAAACGAATACTAAGATATTACACGTAGTGAACGTCGGTGGTGTCGCAAGATAGATATAAAAACGATCGCAGTTAGGTATTTTACCGTAGATGGCGCTAAGTACATTTTATTAGAACGATTTGCACTTCATGTCTAATATTACTTTTCACCGTGATCTGACTAGCCATTATTTAGATTTATGCATTTATATATTATATATCGTTAGTTTCAAAGTTCAGAAGTAATCATCCTAATTACACTACCAGTGTATAATGACCGAGAGGCTCAAGTGACTGAGATCCAGATGTTGTGATGTCGTCTATAGTTGCTTGACAAAGTCATTAGATTAGAGTGAACCCAGCTTTATTTTGTGAACAAGAATCAGTTCGGGTAGAATACTAGTTTATGTTTTGCAACTTACAGGGCATATCTTGATCGTTGTCATTGGAGGAAACACTATTGCCTTTGTGTGTGTGGTTTTTGGTTGACCGGTGATATACATTGACATATACATACATTTTATCATGACTATTTAGTCAGGTCAGTAGTACATACAATGGGGAAACTGGACCAGTTTTTTGTAGTGGTTCTTTTATGAATGAAAATGTCTCAATCTCATTTGGCTGGATAGTTCTCATTTTATAGGAGCACTTCCCTCAGGGTCTGTCTCACCTCTTTGGACAGGATCCAACTCCATCTCAGCACAGACATAATCATTTTTAAAACATATTTTTCAATGGGGAAACTGGACCAGTCTTTTGTAGGGGTGTTTTTTTATGAGTGGAAACAGCTCAAACTCATTTGGCTGGATAGTTCTCATCTCATTTGAGCACTTCCCCGGGGCCTGTATCACCTTCTCGACAGGACCCAACTCCATCTCAACACAGACATAATCAAATTTAAAACATATTTTCCCAGTGCCCCTCAAAAAAATATGAAAGGCCCTTCAGAGATAATGGAATTTCCACAACGATATAGTATAATTACTAATTGATAATTTAAAAACATCTATATTTAGAGAGTTGAAATATATAAACATATCCACAATGTGGATGGGCATGTTGTGGGGTCCACAATGCTTCTCTGAAGAAGGAGGTCTACTCCCCTGCACGGTATTAGGATAGGGCATGAAAGGGTGCATGATATGCTTGGTTGGCTAAATGGCCACAAACGTTTCAACATCTGAGAGCGACAGTTATTTCCTACTAGAGAAAATTCAGTATGTTGACTATGAATGAATGCATCGATCAGCTGTGAGCTGAACTCATATCACCAGAGTCAGTCCAGAGTGTCATTCACCATATCTTGAATGAACCAATCCCAGAATCAACGAAGAAGCTCTTGCTAAAGCCTTTACAGCATGGATGATATCACCCTCCCTCTTGCCTCATTGCGAGAAGCGAAAACGGAAGGTCGGAGCCCGACTCCAATCCAAAAACACTTTTTGAGCAATTCAGGACTACCAGAAGGACATAATTTAATGATAACAATAAAGGTGAGCTTATTGTGTCGTGCATCAAAATTCACTATATACTCGCAGAAGAGCTTTTGGCTCTTAGAGGATTTAAATTTCAACACGCTCTTAAGATTTAACTTCAGAAAGTCAATACTGCTGGCAGTGAGAAGTACACAGATCCGGCACTTTATCACAAACAGGAGGCAGTCCTACAAGTTCATGAGATCATTAAGTCACTAAATAGAGCTTTCCTCACTATTAGGACATTCTCCTGCAAATGAACTCAATCTACAGTTGTATAACCAGTCAAAAAACAATGAGCGCAAACATGACTGCTTACATGGTTACTCCAGGGAAGACTTTTGGTAGGCCCACAAGCCAGAATACCATTGTATAGGTCAAACGAAAGTGGGGATAGTGAAGTG